CAAAAGAGAGGTGGACATGCAGCAAGGTCTCAGCATGCTGTGACCCCCTCTCACCTTCTCACCAGCCAGGATCAAGGATGCATGCAGGGTGCCTGGTGTGCCCAAGACATGAGATCTGAACTGAGGGCCTTCCACATAGCCACTGCATCTGAACCAAGACTTGTCTCTCTCTCTTTTTAAAAAATTATTTATTTACCTGTCATTATTACTACTCTTAAATTTGCTACAGGGCATGTGAGCTCAACAGAGAAAAAGAGAGAAAGTGAGAAAGCAAGCAATGTAACCATTACACCATCTGCTGGTCCCAAGACTTGTATCTTGATTACAACTGTTATTATTGCAAAAACTGAGGAAAACTCTGCATTTCAAAAAGTCAGTTAACAACAAATCCATTTAATCCATTTCTATGTACCTAACTGGGTGACGGGAAATCTAAGATGTAGTCCATTCTTTCAAGGAGCTTAAAGGTAAAACTATAATATCACGACATTATCTTGAAAACACATTGAAATCTACACATCTGAATGAGCGACCACCTTATTTGGTGATATACTCATCTACTTCCCAAACTGCCTTTGGAAACAATTCAGGAAATATATAAGAATAGATTTCATCAGTTTAAGCCAACAGCATATTTTTAGCCCAAACAGTGCTATCCATTTTAATCACCATTTTATTTGACATTTGGTTAGTTGTAAAAATCTACTCCATGCCCCAAAAGAGAAAAATTTGCTACCACGGTTTCGGTGGGTATATTACATCAATACACATATTAATGTGTACATTCTACAGAGAGATGTAAACACACACGTACATACGTATTCTGTGGTTTACAAGGATAATTCCTAAAAGCACTGGACCAATCAGTGCCGTCTGCTAAGACTATAGTATAACCCATGTATGTCATTTAAAATTTTCTAGGTTTTTTGTTTTGTAATGTGTCAGAGGGCACATGCACTTGTGAGAGGGAGACAGAAAGAGAAAGGGAAAGTGAGAAAGTATACCCTCACCACAGGTGGGGCACGGTCATGCTGCAATCCCTCTCCTGTCTCTCCCTCTTTTGGGATCTGGAGTTCATGTACACACGCAATCGGTGTGCTTCTTAAGCCACTAGGTCCAGAACTGGAACCACATGGTAAGATACAGTGGCCTTAACCACCAGGCCATGAGTTGGCCCAACCATACTTTTTATTTTCATCATTGGTGATGTTACTTTAATGTACCTTTATGGCTTTTGTGAGAAGTCATTAACAACTCTTCACATCTCTCCTTTTTTAAAAAAATAATTATTTTATTTAACTTTATTTGTTGTTGTTATTATTTTAATTTGACCAGGGAGAGACAAAGAAAGAAAGAGAAAATGGGAAAGTGAGAAAGCAAGCCACCAGGTATGGGACTCACACTGTGGTTGGCCATGTGGGCAACCACCCTGCCACCTGCCAGTCCTCACACCTTTCCATCTAACAAAAGTTAAAGTCACATATTTCAATGATGGTTTTATTTTTTCTTTATTTTCTCTCCATTCTAGTAGTCATATTTTTTAAAAAAGAATTATTTATTTATTATTGTCATTATTATTTTTCACATGAATTTTGCCAAAGACGAGAAAGAGAGGGAGAGTGAGAAAGCAAGCCACCAAGTCCAGGACTCGAACTATGGTCAGCCATGTGGGAATTCCAGCACCTTAACCACCAAGGCACTTGCTGGCCCTAGTAGTCACATTTTCAAAAGTGTTTTAAAACAGATTAATTGGAATAGTATAGTTTAAAATTTAATTTGATAGGTCAAAAGTATTATCATTCCAACATGTAACCAATATAAAAAAATTGAGAAATTTTACATTATTACATTTTTGTATTTTTTTTTTTCAGAAAGATTTTTGCTATAAGGCATGTGCACTTACTTGAGAGACAGAAAGACAGAAAACGAGAAATCACCTCCCAGGGGAGATGGCCACACCACAATCCCTTTACCTCCAGTCTCCTCTTGGGATCTTGGGCATGGTCACATGAGTTTTAAGTCACCAGGTCCAGGACTAGAACCGCGGCTGACAATGTGGGAGACCAGTGATGTGACCATATGTCATCTGCTGGTATATAGTATTACTTTTTTTTGGAGAGGTTTTTCCTATAGGGCATGTGTGCTCGCCACAAAGACAGAGGGAGATAGAGAGACAGAAAGTGAGAAATCACCCCCAGGGGGGATGGCCACGCCGCAATCCCTTCTCCTCCATTCTCCTCTCAGGATCCTGGGCACGCACGCACATGCGCCCAGCGTGAGTTTAAGCCACTGGGTCCGGGACTTGAACTGTGGTCAACTACGTGGGAGCCCAGTGACATAGCCATTATGCCAACTGCTGGTCCTATAGTATTACTTTTTAATACTAAGTTTTTGAAATTTAGTAAAGTCATGTATTTTATACCTACAGAACGTCTCAATTGGGACCAGACACATCCTAAGTGCTCAAGAGTCATATGTAGCTAGTGGCCACCATACTGGACCATGCAGAATAAAACACAGCTGGGGGCCAGCAGGTGGTGTGGTGGTTAAGGCACTGGACACTCCCTCATGACTGACCATGGTTCAAGTCCTGGACCTGGTGGTTTGCATTCTCACTTTTTCTTTCTCTCTGGTCAAATTAAAATAAATGAATGAATAAATAAAATTAAATAAATAATTCTTTAAGAAAAAAATAGAATAAAACACAGCTAAAGCTGCCATAAGAGAAAAGTGCCCCATTCTCTTCACATATTTTTTTTGGAGTTTTTTTTGCTATAGGGTGCATACGCTCACCAGAAAGACAGAGAGATAGAGAGACAGAAGCAAGACACCTCCCGTGGTAATGGCCACGCTGCAATCCCTTTCCCTCCATTCTCCTCTTGGGACCTTGAGCATACATGCACACGCGCCTGGCGTGAGTTTAAGCCACTGGGTCCAGGACTCGAACCGCAGTCGACTACATGGGAGTCCAGCGACATAGCCATTATGCCAACTGTTGGTCCCCCCCCTCACATCCTACTCTGTAAAGTAACCCCTTTAAAGAAGTCATACACAAATGTAAGTGAAATACTGGTGAATAATAAAAACAGCTGTAATCACATTTAGTTGGGGTATAAATTCTAAATAGGAGGGAATTTTGAAAAGTTTGTGAAAAAACAGAATTAAACTAGTAGTTTATTTTGGTGTAAAAATTGTTAACTGCAGGACCAGCAGTTGGCGCAATGGCTATGTCACTGAACTCCCATGTGGTCGACCACAGTTCGAGTCCCGGACCTGGTGGTTTAAACTCACACTGGGCGTGTGTGTGTGTGTGTGTGTGCCCAAGATCCCGAGAGGAGAATGGAAGAGAAGAGATTGTGGCGGGACCATCCCCCCTGGGCGGTGATTTCTCGCTTCTGTCTCTCTGTCTCTTTCTGGCGAGTGCACACACGCTATAGCAAAAACCTCTCCCCTCCAAAATTGTTAATTCCATCCACTGTTTTTTCATAATATATATTTTCCACGAATTTTCTGAAGACCCATGTAATGTTAAGAGTTTAGAGGAAAGGATGATTTAAAGAAATTCAATGTCATCTTCACGGAGCCCAGCTCAGCAGTAAAGGATAAAGGAGAAGTGTTTTACAACATTCAAGGGTTAACCCTTCTAGACGAGGAATAACAGTACTAAATAAGCCAAGAAAAACTCAGTTCAAATAAACTAAGGATTAGTCAGCCACACATCCCGTCAGGATCCCAGTGAATGGATTTCTAAGCAGTGAGCAACTGTTAAAGCCAAGGCCTATAGATATACAACCAGGTAAGTCTTAAAGAGCTATTGGGTTGTCGGAAAAGTCACGACACATTTTTGCATAGAAAAACACAGAAAAAATGTCATGACTTTCCTGACAACCCAATAGACAGAATTCAGAACTGAAAGACAGATACGGTAGAAATCTTACTTGGTGACATCTGATTTATAATCTCTTTAAAGTCTCTGGGCCCCCAGTTAACTCAGGTGTAAAGTCAATGAAACTCTGAGGTCCCTTACAGCTAAGGTGACCTGTAATTTACTGGACACTCTCAAGAGTAAACCTGGATTCACTCAAGAGTAAAAAGAGGGCACTGCTAGAATTATGCTGGGACAAGAGGCATAAAACTAGGACTGTTTTATAGTCACAAAACTATGACTCTACACTACCAAAAGGGTGCAACAACTACCTCTGTCCAAGGATGTGGAGCTGATGAAAGTCTAGCATGTTCTTATTACCTCTGCGTGGCCACAGGAATTTTGTGGGCTAATACACATCGACTGGGTGAGGTGGTTTCGCACCCCCCATCCCCACATTTTTATTTGGTTTGTATTTGGGTACGTGGTTCCATATGGACAGAGCTGCACTCTGACAGCCTGAGTGTATTTACTGAAGACAACAAATCATGGACAGACTAAATGTAACAGAGGAAAGGCCTGGCCTGCTTGTATTCAGAATCTGACTTTGTAATTGTAGCCTCCTTGAGACAGGCCTAATCAATTAGAAGGGGCTGATTTTAACCAGTTGCAGGCTCATTACCCTGCATTCCAGTTTGTGTTGATGAAAATCAGTTTCAGCCTGTGGCCTGGAACTCATGTATGGCACTTCCTGCGGCCTCTTACATAAACACATCAAAATTTTTTATTTGTAGTTGCCCTTCTCTCCTTTTAAAAAACCACTCTGGGAATCGTGATTAAAACAGAACAATTGTGTGGATCCAGGGCCTTATGGGCCTAGACACATACCTGACCAAGAAACATGCAGTAATGCTTGCCGAAGTATCACAGACACATTGGTAAAGGGGTGGATTTGAGAACAAAGTCCCAAATATCCCGGCTCCAGGACTGAATCCAGCCCGTTCAGTTACCTTCACAGAATGGCTTGTCTGACAAGAGTAGAGGAAAAGGAAGAGTGTGGTAGAGGCACTCAAAACCCCACGTATGTTCTGAAGACCTGTAACCACTCCAAATGTGATGTAACTATGAATCATACCTGGCTGGGTGCCCTTCGTGGGTTTGTCGAGGCAGCAGGTCAACAGGAAGAGAATGTCGATATATACAGCTCTGGTCACCAAACATGGATTTTGCCTAGGAAGGCAAAGAACAGAAAATAAATTGATATTTCCTCTTCCTAAACCGGGGGTTACAAGGAGGAAAAAACATACGTATTTTCTACATGGGTATTCCCTACCAGCCATGTCATGAGGCTTATGCGATTATGGCGAATGCTAAGAAAGATGGACGACTAGCAATGGCAAGAAAATCGGGAGCTCAAGAGAGAAAAGGAGATCCTAGAGTACATGGTAGAACCTGAGTTCTATGCATAGACAAAGAAAGACAAAAATGTGCAATGGCTCCAAATAAAATACTCTGAAAACAAACGAAAACCAAGATCCAGTTAGTTGAAAACAAGTAGGAGGAGTAATTTTTTGGGGGGGAAAAAGATTCATTAGTCATAGAAATCACTCATTTAGCATTTTGGAGGAGACCTGGACTCATAAGAAAAACCCTATCTATGGCCTTAAAATAATCAGCTGAACAAATAAAAAATACACACGATTAACAAGCACTGGAGCTGCCATCCTTTTTCAAATAAATGTAGTTTTTCTTGTCTTTCAATATATGGAGTTACTCTTTTTCTTTTTTCTTTTTAAAGAGACAGGGTCTTATTATAGTTCCCAGGCTGGCCTTGAACTTGGGATCATCCTGCCTCAGACCCTTGAGTAGCTGGAGCAACATTTCAAAGGCCTAAAACCACTCCAGAAAGTGCTATAACTATCAATCACACTTGGCTTATTTTATTCGTTGGACTACATGGTGGAAATGGCTAAACAGACTCAGATCTGGGTGTCTAGACACAAAGGAAAGAGGTGGTCTTTCTTTCAAGAATAGGCCGAAGAGCACCAACTCCGTCTCAGCTCATACTGACCATGAAAAGGGCCAGGACCTCTTTGGTGTGCTCACAGTGTGGTACGAGTGTTAGAGACAGCAGGGACAGACCTGGTTTGAATCCTGGCTTGGCCACTTAGTACAGATTCCTGATCTGTAAAATGAGGACTACATAATCCCTTCATGACAATTCAGTGTGAGTGTTCCATGTGGCACAGGAAACCTAAAATGCCACCTCAGTGCCTGGCTATGACAGATGCTCCGCAAGTGTTCATTCCCTGTCCTTCTCCTCTACTTCTGATATAAACTGAGGGGATGGCAATGAAACTGGCACAAATATTTTGGCTAGTGGATGTCCACTGGGCTTCAGCCCTCAGCCCACCCTCTGTCCCTGTAAATGAACGGTTTTACCATTTCCCCCAGGTTTATTCCCGCCTCTATTCTGAACTGCTCCTGTCCCAAAGCTGGTGTAGCTGTACATGAAAAGCGGAGCAGCGCCGGCTCCATGGTGCAGTGGTCATGTGCTACTCGAGAGAAGTCAGATCCCACCTGGCAGCTGTGATGCTAACCCCCCCGCCCAGCCGGCCCAAACACATCAGGGCAGGCACACGAGTGCCCAGGACCCTGGATGCCTGGAAGAAGGGCGTCTTGGAGTGACCAGAACTCTCCCTTTCACTCTCATGTGCATTCATATACACCCGTATCACAAATGCAGGAAAAATACATAAAAAAGAAAAGAAAGAAAAGCGTATCTGATACTTTGGGATTTGATGCTGAAGCGTCTCTTAGTAAGGCCTCTCTGTGGCTGACCTGCTCCGCCTCAGCCCCACTGACTTGGTCCCTGACTCCCACAAACTGAAACTACTAGTTTATCTGTATCCCTTGGGCCTGTCCTAATTTCATACCTACCTACTTCTTAAAATTAGTTTTAAAAAATAGGTAACACATGCACATGGTCTAAAAATAATTCAGACAGTACGAAAGGGCCTGCAGTGAAAATAAAGTCCCTTTTCCACAACCCACCCCCTGCCCACATTCTGTTTCCCAGGAGCAACCACGCCTACTTTCTAGCATATCCTTCCAGGCACGTTCTATTTGTTTATGCACATCTATCTATAGCTACCCACTTGTTTATCTTCACATAAATGGTGGTTTAAATTCTAGGCATTACTCTGATATATTTTGGATACTGTTCTATTAAGAACATAGAAATTTGTCTGATTTTCTCCCCCCCCATTCATAATAGAGCATGCGTGTGTGAAAGATATCAAATTCAAAAGTATCCGATACGTTGTTTTTTTAAATATTTTTTTTCTTTGCTCATAACAGAGTGTGCGTGCATACACATGAGAGTGAAAAAGAGAGGGGCACCCCACACAGGTTCTGGCCACTCCAGGATCCCCTTCTCCCCGGTACGGGAAAGACAAGCGGAGAGGGACACCAGCACGCGCCCAAGGGCAGGCCACACCCATCCTCTTCCCCAGTCTCTCGGCCTGTTGGGTCCTGGGCACTCCCGCAGGGGCCCAGTGTGTTGAAAGCTGACCAGGGATTAGAACCTCTGTGGGTGTGGGATCTGGCTCCTCCTGAGTGGCACATTATCGCTGTGCCACAGAGCTGATCCTCTCATTTTCTCGATCGCTATAAACTGTCTCATTTCATAGATGTATCTGTCCTATACTGACAGAATTCAGACTGCTTATGATATTTTGCTACCCCAAACAATGCTGTAATAAATATACTGTACATAGGTTTTGTGTATGTGGAGCATACTCAGAGACAAAATTTCTAGAAGCTGAATTGCTGGATCGAGGTATTTGTATATTTTAATTTTTCATTTTTTTGAGAGATTTTTGTTATAGCATGCATGCACTCGCCAGAGAGACAGAAAGCGAGAAATCACTCCCTAGCGGGGGATGGCCAGGCTACATCCCTTCTCCATTCTCCTCTCGGGATCTTGGGCATGCACACACACACACACACACACACCCGGCTTGAGTTTTAAGCCACCAGGTCTAGGACTGGAACCATAGTTAGCTACGTGGGAGTCCAGAGATGTAACTATTGTGTCATCTGCTGGCCCCTTTTTCATTGATTTTTTAAAAGATGTTCTCCAAAGGGGTTGTACTAATCAGTATTTTTACTAAATGTGCCTAAGAATGCCATTGTTCCTCACAATCTGGCCAACATGGTGTGTCATAAAACTTTTTTTTTTTCCCGTAAGCTTTTGCCTTAGGGTGTGTGCACTCACTGGAGAGGGAGACAGAGACACTGAGAAGGAAAATGAGAAATCACCCCCTAGGGGGGATGGCCATGCTTTAGTCCCTTCTCCATTCTCCTCCCAGGATCCTGGGCATGCACACACACTTGCCCAGCGTAATTTTGAAGCCACCAGGTCCGGGACTCAAACTTTGGTCAGGCATGTGGGAGTCTAGCAATGTAATCACCATGCCATCTGCTGGCCTCTTATAAAACTTTTTGACCTTTGCCAAGATGGTAAGTGAAAAATAGTTATCTCATTGTGTAAACTACAATTATATTAAGAGTGAAGACGATTACTCCTTCATGTGCTTTTGAAAAAAGATCTAAATTTTGTTCTCTGTGAACTATATTCAAACCCCCTGTTATTGTTCTTTTCCATACTGATTACAGAAAATCTTGGTGTATTAAGGAAATCTACCCCTTGTCTGTTACATGTATTGGGTCATCAAAAAAGTCATGATGTATTTTTTTTTAATTATTTTATTTTTAAACTTTATTTATTTCAATTTGACGAGAGAGAGAGAGAGAGAGAGAGAAAGTCGCCAGGTCCGGGACCCAAATCATGATTGGCCATGTAAGAATCCAGTGCCCCCAACCACTACGCCACCTGCTGGCCCCATGACATACTTTTCTATGTTTTTCTATGCAAAAATGCATCATGACTTTTCTGTCGACCCAATATTACAAATAAGCTTTTGCAGTCCGTCATTTGTCTTTTAACTATCTGTAATCTTTGTTGTTTTTTTTTCCTTTTAAAGGGTTTTTGCCATAAGGTGTGTGCACCTGTCAGAGACAGAGACAGAAAGAGAGTGGGAACGTGAGAAATCACCCCCCAAGGAGATGGCCTCCATAATCCCTTCTCCTCATTTGCCTCTCAGGACTTTGGACACGCATGCACATGTACCTGGTGATTCTCAAGCTGCTGGGTCTAGAACTCGAACTGCCAAGCTGGCCATGTGATCCAGTGCCTTAATTCCCACACCATCTGCTGTCCCTATATACACTTTTAAATCTCTCATATTCTCTTTTAGTATTTCAGTTATTTTTTTCCTTTTTAATGTTTACAGTTTGTTTATTTTATTATTATTTTTTAATTGCCAGACAGAGAGAGAGGGAGAGAAAGCACCTTCCCATGGGATGTGGTTACGCCTCTTCTTCCTGTCAGGATTCTGGGGACACACACACACATGTGCTCAGCAAGTTCTGGAAGCTGGATCTGAACCAGAGTTAGCCATGTGGCTCCAGCTTACAGTGCACAGAGCTTAACCACTGTACAATTTAACTGATACTTAAATTTTTTAACTGTTTGGAATCTTTTTTTATTTCCAAATTCTCCCTCTATCTTTTGTCTCTATTGAGTTTTCTCCAGGTCTTTTCAGTATAACTTCCTGTTATTTTTCAATCTACTATGGAAAGCCCACAGTATATGAAAACTTCTTTAATGATATCATCCCCAATTCTGGGACTTCCACTTTAACAGTTGGGACCTCTCCTCTTTCCACTCCCTTGCCAAAGGAAGTTCTTCTCAGGGAAGAAAGCCAGAAAAGCCAATGCAGAGGTTCCTGGGACAGATGAATCAGTGAGCCCCCAGGAATGGAGCACAGGGCGGGTCGGCTCGCAAGCATCCAGCTTGGAGGTGCGGGGAGGAGATGCACGTGAGCCGGTGTCTAACCCCTGACAACCTCCTCTAGATATGGAGATAAAACCAGTCAAAATCTGGGACAGATATAAGGAGTTAAGAGAAAAAAAAAGTATCGGAGGGACCAGAGAAATGGAGGATATAATTCCAACTAGGCAGAGTAAGATGGAAGAATTTAGACAAAGTTAACAAGGAAGGGCATTTTGAGAGGGGATATCTGAGGTGGGAAGGATGATGTCTGGCTGGTCCAGGACCTGGGGACACCAGCTTGGGAAGATGAGAGAATGTGTTGAGAAGGCAA